TCACAGCTTGTTCTTTGTTATTCCCTCTTCACGGTTCATCCTTGAGGAAGCCTGTGCTTTGCCGCAGGTCTGGCAGATACCTGGCCGTGCTGGGGAGCCGTCACCGTATGAGCTGGGCACCAGTCTCTCGCTGCCCAATATCAGACAGCAAAGACTCGAAGCAGAGGGCTGACAACCAAGCCAGAGATGGAAAGTTATTTATCTCGACTAATTGCTGGTTTCGGTGATGTTTGCTGAATTCGGGCATGTATTGTGGGTGACTCACAAGGAAAAGAAAAGGACTCATAAGAAATACTATTGACAATGAATAATTCAACTACCTTGAATATGAATGCTGAGTTACACTTAACTCTCTCCTGGAGACTTTTTATGGCTCTGTGAAAGGAAAGAGGAAATTCGGGACGAGCCAGCCCAGCTCCTTACGGGACCCCCTGCACCTATGGGGAAACCCCAGAGCCGCAGTGGGGAGCACGGCCAAGCAGAGGGATGGAGCTGCTCCCGCATTTCCAGGGAAGCCCATCAGAGGTGCACTGGGCTGTCCCCACAGCACCGGGACAGCCCAGAGCTGCTGCTGCTGCACCGGGAGGGAGTGCGGACAGGGTGCGTGGGGTGCGTGGGGTGCGTGGGGTGCAAAGGGGGTGCTGGTGATGCCTCCTAGCACAGATGTTAGTCCCTTCCAGCCCCGCTATGCGTTTAAAGTCTCTCCTTGTCCCCAAAAGACCAGGCAAAGGAACTGCTCGGGCAGCCAAATGGAGGCCAGTGGGAAGGGTTTCGGCTTTGGGATCAAGGCAGGGCCAATGGCTGCGTGGGGAGAGGGTATCGTTACCACTGTTAATGAATAACCCTAATAGCACTCACCTGAGCTGTGATTAGATAAGGGAATAGCTTTAATGTGCTGTGTAAACCCCAAAGGATGCACTCCTGAGTGTGCACGCACATGCACTCGCACACACGCGGGGGGACAGGGTCCTGACCCCCAGCCTGGATCCGCTCCCCACGGCAGCCCTGCCCCAAGGATGGGGATGCTGGAACTCCTGCCCCGGAGTGGGGCTGCCAGGGAGGGAGGGGGAC